GAAGTGAGCACACACACACACCATGAACGCACACCCGGAGCAGTGGGCAGCCATTTTTGCTGCGGAGCCCGGGGAGCAGTTGGGGGTTCGGTGCCTTGCTCAAGGGCATCTCAGTTGTGGTATTGAAGGTGGAGAGAACGACAGACAGCCTATATGCACTTCAGACAGGAGCATGCACCTCTCCAGGCCAGCAGACACATGTATGTTTAGGGCAGAGATTAGTGCTGGGCGGTATGACCAAAAATTGCTAGGGCTGGGTGATATGACAATACATATCGTGGCGATGATATAAAGTGTGAATCGACGGAAATTTTTCTAAATCGTTTACATAGATAGGCCTGTTGAGGTAAGCAAATATATCCGTGTAGCTTTTAGTGGGCAGGAATTATTCAGTCATTCATTCAAAAGGAAGCATGGATGAATGAGTAATAGAATGTGATGTGCTTGGTGCAATTGCACTTATTATAAGTGTATATGTGTATGTACTTCTATGGCTCCCAATAGATTCAGTGGTTCGTAGTGATGTGACGTTCAACACCAAGGCTTCGAAGCTTGTATCAAAAAAACGAAACATCTTTTTCCTTTCCAATCTGTTATTTAAAGTGAAACTGAAAGTTAGACCTGCATGTATAAATATACCCTCTGACGAGAGCTGCCATCACATCACGCCTGCACATACTTCAGGAACACAAGACAGTAAATGTAGTTCTGTGATTCTTAGCATTACTCTGTTTACACGACACAAGATTGCAAATGGGAGGAAGTGGATCAAAACCAACTGAAGGTAAGTACTGCATAGAATAATGGGATAAAGTATTGTAACGATAATTACACTCACAGAAATGATCTATTTAATGTATGTAATATACACAAATCTAAACTGTGATTGTTGCAAACAACAGCCCTGAATTGCGCCGTACTGTCACTTATATAGAAAAGTAGATGGCTGTTGTGGTATACGGGTAAACTTCACTTTCCGCGTTCCGTTCCGTCTCGCGCACAGCCGCGTCTACACAGCTTTCAAAGTACACTCAACCACGGATGAGCACGGACGGACGAGCTCGACACATGCACATTAACATGATCACCTACTTGAATCGTTCTGTCTCAACCATAGACTATATGGCTGCGTTCTAGTTCACTTTTAGACACGCTGTAATGGTCTGGGTGTCTGTAGCTTTAAGACTCTGATTCGGGGTTTCCTCTGCCCCTGCACTCGTGTGTATATGCTGGGGGAAAACCAAGCGCCTCCCGCTCTCTCTCGTGAAGCCAACAAGGAAAAACTGTAATTCATCAACTGGCCGCTAGAGGCTGGCTGCAAAAGGGAGTCAATCCCATAGAATCCCCATGTTAAAATACCCAACTTTACAGCAGAAAAAAACATTAACATTAATACATAGGTTGATGGTGACCTGCATTGTGTGTTTCTTTCTTCCATAACGCACAATAGGTTACAACGCACTCGCGAACTTCCCTAATCCCAAATCCCTAATATGGCGTTATTTTAATGACAAATGTCGAGAGCGCATTATTGTAGCACAATAGCACATTAATATAATGCGCGAGCGCGAATCTCTCCGCTCGCTCAGATACACGCTGCTCTCGCCCGGAGAGTGCGCGCACTTAAAACGTGTCTCTCCTCTCACTCAAACTGTGTCCTGTGCACTCTCAAATCTCTCTGTGC